TTTTAGTCGTTTTTTTAATATTTACTTCTGGAACATTTAAAGCTAAACACCAGTGCGACCTTCTCTCGTAATTTTCTGGAAAACTATATGGTAAAAATTTTCTTTTAAATACAAGTATTTTTATATAAATAGTATAAATTTATTATATGTAATTATATTTCAAAAAAAATAATGTTTAAGGTTATGTTAGAAGTACTTATAATTTAGATAATTAAAATTTTTAATACATAACTTACGCATGAAATATTACTGATGTATCCTTCTTATCATACGACAACTTACAAATAAAACACGAGACAACCATTTTTTTAGAATAGACGTCTTTATTATAAATAAAAATAAATATTTAAAACCAAATGAACCGACCATCTAAGAAAATACACGAAAGGCGCTATGATTACAGTAAGCAGCCCTGATGCGCTTACGTCACAAAATGTGAGAACAAATCATATTCTGTCAGACAGAGAGGCAACGGAAAACTCGCTTTGCCCTCTCTCAATCTCATTTTACTTTCATGAAAAGCCACAGAGGTGAGCGGTCCATATCTACAAGTCTTTGGCAACAACGCCAAGCGGAGATCGCACCTAGCTCATCCTACTACGATTGCAGAAGTTCTATGCTTTTTCGGTATTAGACTCTTGCAATTGACGATTAGGCCACGCCTACCTACTCGCCAGTAGACCTTTTCATGCTGGTCATTCTGTCCTCTTCTAACTCATGTGTCATAATATGTGCTAGATAAGGACAGAACGATCAGCATGAAAAGGTCTATTGCAAGAGTCTAATACCGAAAAAGAATAGAACTTCTGCAATCGTAGTAGGATGAGCAAGGTGCGATATCCGCTTGGCGCGGTTGCAATTAAGGTATAATAAGTATATACAATAAGGGGCTACATGATAAACTTTATCAGCATAGACAAGTTACATAGTGAAAAAAAAGTTTATACCAAAATTACTTAAATATTACGCATATGTAGCATATAAAAGTTTTGTGCGTTAAAGGTAAATTTTTTATACAATAAAAGGCTAATTTTTCTCTCTGTGTATTAAGTTTTGCAAACTTGCAGCAAGTTTGCGCCAACATTGCCCTGCCAGCTTGCCGTAAGAGGACATTTCGTTGCTTGCACCAAACTTGCTACATGTTTGCACTGCAATCTTGCACGGCAAGTTTCTTGCAAGTTATCCAATACCAAAATTTTTTTCAAAAGACATCTTCCACTATTATCAAATAACACAAGCCTGCAAAAAAACAAATTCCGTAGTACGGATGTGATGTAAGATTTTTAAAATTCAAAATGGCGGATCCAATATGTCGGATTGTGTGTGGACAAAACGGGCGATCACGGATTGCGTCATGTAAAGGGAAGTGGTGTACTTCCACTCAACCCGAGCTCAGACCTCGAGTAAGTCAATTACAGCGGGGGCTTGTGTGGCGTTCTCGGGCTTATTGACAATATTATTTTGTAACGCTTAATGAGTTTTTCATCAAAATTTTTAAATATAAACATTTTTAAATTTATTTTGACATATTTCTCAGAATTTCACGATTACGAGTATATGTTGTTCAAAATATAAATGTTAATATTCAAAAGTTTTATAATTTTGGTACAATAAACCTAAACGATGTGTTTTAAACCAATTTAACCCAAAGGTGCTGGCACCAAAGATTTTCTACTTCATTTTAATTCTCCAGTATAAGCACATGGTTATAACTCGGACGCGGCTGGAAAGTGAGGGACACCACTTCCCCTTACAGGACAGTATTATTATTATTATTATATATAGTCGTATACAAAGCAAAAAAAACGTTATCCGACAGAGTCTCTAAAATGTGGTAACCATTCAATAATAATTAATTTGCTCTTTATGATTATACAAATTGCATAGATTAACACATAAAAGACGAAAAAAATATAAAACATATAATATAAAAACACACAAGATACATACAATTTTAGGGTAAATTATACAATAATATATATTATAAGACACACAATTCACTATTTTTCGATATAAAATTTTTTATGGTTTATTATTGCGCTTATAAAATAGAAGGCATTTTTTATTTTTTCATATTCGATGGATTCAATGCAGGAAGCCATAACGGTCTAATATAGGTAGATTCAATATAATTTTGAAATTTTTGGCGTATATAATCTAATAATAATGAGATAGGTATAATTTGATAAGTTAGTTTTGCATGACATTTAACGTCCTAAATGCTTTATCTTGCTTGGACAAAGTTTACGATAATTATAAACAATCTTTTATTATTAATATTTAGCTCCAAAAGTGTAAGTGCAGTTTTGCCGGATAGAGCTTTCTTACAGCGCACACTTTATTTATCTATTTTGATCAATTTTTTTTAAAAGTTTTATGTAGAGTTTAGTCGTTTTTTCTTTTTTTATCCTCTTATACGTGAAGTTCATTTGGGCCTAATGCATTGAATGATTGAGCAAACAGTCTAATTGTCCAGATGTCGTTTGGACAATGGAGCAGACGGATTGCTTCTCTCCGTGTGGAAAGAAATTAAAAATAATATTCGGTCTCGCTCTGCTGTGGGGATATAAGAGCGGTTACACATGTATACGAAATAACAGAGTCGTTGCGAGCCACGTAACCCCACTGCGCCATCTACCTAATGATTTCACCTTCTGACTTCACGGAGGGGAGTGCATTGAGTAGATAGCGCAGTGGGGTTACGCGGCTCGCAACGACTCTGAGATTTCGTATACATATGGAACCGCTGTCACTTAACCCACACGTGCATGAGTTCATTATTTGACATGCGTGCCTGACGTAGGTCCGAGGGTGCCAGCTGCTTTAATTCAATAAAAACAAGATTTTAATAGTAGGATATTCAATATTTGATGCTCACATATTGTTTAAAATGTACGTTATAGCATCAGCTTATCTAATTGGATAACGATTTAAAAAAATTTTTTCTTAAGGTATCACATCGGCACTAATCGGAGTCAAAAGTTTGTAGCTCGCATTACTACTTCCCGCACTATACTTTCGCCCTCAACTCCCTATACTCTCAGCCCATACTGTACCTACTTCTACAAATACACTCGTACACTTATACCCCACACTAGCAGCGATTGGAAGGAGTAGGAGGTTTGACAACGTCGCTATAAGTGTCGCTTTGACTACTGTGGACTACTGTCTCTCTCTAACTAATGTTACCATCCTGCGATGTTGCCACATCAAAGTGGCGGGTGTGCTATATGTTGCAAATGACGTCATGAAATAGAATTTTTAATTTATAATTACAAATAAACGGCACGGTAAATTATAAATTTCTTTGTATATTTTAGTTCCAAATTTCTTCGTGAATTCAACATTAGTTTTTGAAAAAAATTTGTAGAAAACTTCTGATGATATTTATGAAAATGTACTTCTCCCCCATACATTAGTCCCGTCTCCCATGCAAAATAAGCAACTTTGATTGCTAGTATCTCTGGTTTCGTACGGCGAAAATTCTTCATATTTTGCAAATTTGTCAAGAATGATAATAAGAACATATGGTAAAATTTTCAATAAAATTTATAGAAAACGGTTTTACCGATGTGATACCTTAAATAAAAGTAGATAAAAAACAAAATTGTCTGGGTCCGAAGGACCCAGCTCAGACCTGCCAGGGTTAAGGATATGTGATCTGGACAGTTAAAAGGGACCTTGTGTCCGAAAAAATCGATTTTTTATTGATTTGTGCTTCTGATAGAAGGAACTTTTTTCTTTCACAATCAATAGTTAATAAAAAATTAATTTTTTCGGTCGTAAGGTCCCTTTTAACCATCTAGATCACATATATTTTTTGAAAAACTTTATTACTCGAGAGCCTCAACATATTTTTTGTCCTACATGCACGATAAACGCGACTTTCCGTGCAGGTACAGCCGGCGAAAGTAGGCTTTCGCCACCCAACCACCAATAGCGGGCGGAAAAGTAATTTTCTGGTTTATTTAAGACACATTTTTTAAGTTGAATATTTTTAAATAATTAGTTCACCAAATTTTTAATATTTTTAAATAATGTTATAAAACATAATAATATAATTTTCCCTCAAACATAATAAAAATATATCCAGTATCTTTAACATTCAATATTTGGTTTTTGGTTATACTCCAGTTTATTTCCTTAGGCGTCTTATTTATCGAGCAATTGGACAAAAAACATAGTGTGCAACACGGTCAGGAATTGACTACTTTCCGCCCTTGCCACAATGTACTATTTTTAACCCCTTGAGAACTAGTGTTGCTGTTAGGTAACTTGGACATTTTTTTGTTATATCATACATAATTTCCTTGATTTTTAAAACTGAATTTTGGACCAATGTTTTTCATTTAGTCTAATAAATTTTCAATTCTAAACTGGTTCTAAGACAAAAAACCTGAATTAGTTTCCCTAAAGTCTTGTTTTAAAAAAAGTCGTCATTTTTTAAGAAAAAATTTGGTTCTCAAAGTGTTAATAACAATAAGATCTACTATAACAATGCAACAAGATGAATAAAAAATTGTTCTTGAGTTAAATTAGGAAACTTAATAAATAGAATTAATTTCAAAAAATACACGTCTTTGTTTCATGTTATAACTCCTCTCACAGCAACGGATCTTTCAGAATATCCAACGGACGTCCTGGAAGAATACAGCAAGTGGGCCGTATGCTAGGGATATTCTAATTTTCCCAGATCAAATGATATCTCTAGAATTTACTTTGAATATACTGAATATCCGAATTCTGTGAGGGTTCTAAATATGAGGCAAGGACGCAAAATACTTTTCCGCCCGCTTGCAAACAAAACTGATAGAACGCATTCTACTTTCATATAGAGTACAGAGTTTCACTCATAAGGAAATTACTATGAAATTTACTGCTCATGCCCTCAAATACATACTTTCCATGCAGTTAGTACAGAAAAAATTATACGCACCATGGGCGCAATCACCTATTTTGCGCCTTTGATACGAATATAATTATTCTTTATTTCGACTTACGTGCAATTAGATCTTTACTCAAGGAATCCTGAAAATGTAAAAATATTTAAATTTTCATTATGTTTTTAGACAAAAAAAACACATTAAAAATAAATAAAAAATTACATGAGTTGTTTATGGTTAAAGTTAAATAAATATTCATGTCTTTTTCTATCTCAAACATCTCGTTAACTAAATTATCGATAAACGAAATTCTTAGTATAGGGGAAGGTGGGGGAATTGGAGCCCCTTAAGGACAATGATTAAAAAAACCAACTTATTGTTATAATAAAATATTGTTTTGGTCATTTTTTACTCCATTTGTTATTTATCTTTAAGGGGTTATACCTAGTTACGATTTTCAAAAAATCGAAATTTTTTTTGCAGTTTCTTAAAGTATATATATATACATACATATTTGACTGTTGTAAAATTTTTTTTATTAAGATTCGAGAAATATTTCCGAAGTTACAGACAATTAGCAAGGAGGCGCCGTGCGGTATAGAGCAGGTGAAGCATCGGTAATTCCTATAGAAATCTGATTTGTTTGTCCCGTATATTATATTCTACCTTACAATTTTCGTATAACTGAGTATATATTCAAGAGGCATTCGTTCCCTCGCCTTACAATATCACATATTTATTATGTCACACATTTATTACATACTCAATGTAAACTGTCGGTGAGGGTCCCCCTTTAAACTCGTTTTTTTCAAAACTACGTTTTTTAAGTCGGTGAACTCAATATCTGAAAAACCGCTGAATCGATTTGGCTCAAATTTTAACACAAGCTCAACAACTACATTTTGATGTTGTTGATCGAAGATTTTTTAAATAAAATTAAAATTTACTTAATTCCTTCGATCAATGACAACATTTTCTCATAAACTATCAGAATCTATTTTATTTTTTGAGTTCAGATGACTCTCTCAGAATTATGCTGGTCACCGCGAGACACATTTTTTTGAGAACCCTTGAGAGATCGCATGCAAAGGGCAGAAAAATTAATATTTTTATGAATAAAATATTTTTTTAAATACACTAAAAGATGTATAATAATACACCGTCCGACAAAATTCAACATTTTTTTTCACACACGCAAAAATCAATGATTTTCAGAAACTAGGACCAAAAAAAAGATACCCGTGTCTGGCCGTTTTGCTAGATCAGGTCATTTTTTGCTTATAGGGGTAAAAACAACCCTTAATTAAAAGGTGATAGGAAATCTTGTACAAATAAATAATTTTTTATGAAACCTGGTATATCGGGGTTTTCCGGATCGCTGATTACGAATCTGATGTCAGATTTTCAAAATTCAAAATGGCGGATTCAATATGGCGGTCGAAATTTATAAAAGTTCATCGAATTCACTTGAAACTTGTTACTTGAAGGTTTTTGGGGTTGCTGATTACGAATTTGATGTCGGGTTTTCAAAATTCAAAATGGCGGATCCAATATGGTGGTCGAAATTTATAAATGTTATTATTATTATTATTATTATTATTATTATTATTATTATTATTATTATGTTATTATCAGCGACCCCAAAAACCCCTAGACACCATTTTTATAAAAAATAATTAATATTTATAAATTTCGACCGCCATATTGGATCCGCCATTTTGAATTTTGAAAAACTGACATCATATTCGTAATCAGCGACCCTAAAAACCCCTAAGTAACAACTTTCAAATGAATTGGTGAATTTTTATAAATTTCGACTGCCATATTGGATCCGCCATTTTGAATTTTGAAAATCTGACATCAGATTCGTAATCAGCGACCCGGAAAACCCCGAGATACCAGGTTTCATAAAAAATTATTTATTTGTACAAGATTTCCTATCACCTTTCAATTAAGGGTTGTTTTTACCCCTAAAAGCAAAAAATGACCTGATCTAGCAAAACGGCCAGACACGGGTATCTTTTTTTTGGTCCTAGTTTCTGAAAATCATTGATTTTTTCGTGTGTGAAAAATCGTGTCGGACGGTGATATAGAAAACCTTTCATTTTAAGAAATAAATATTCCTTTCCAAAAAAATCCCAAAAAATTGCATTTTTCCGACCGCCTGACTAGGTATAACCCCTTAATTATAATTAATTAGAAATTAAGAACAAAAACGTAAGTTTGCAAAAAAAAATGTTTTCTAAAAAAATGCATTTTCTCCCATTACCCCACCTGTGGGGTATTGCTCAGCTGTCACTTGAAATTCCAATAAAATGATATAATTTATATTTTCTTTAGATATTTTTCTTATTTTGTCAATAGTTATTGACAGATGAACATTTTACAAAATATTTAAGACATAAAAAAGACCTACAGCTTCTTTAGTATTAAAATATCCAATACCCAAATATAGCACGTAATATTACAGTAATATTAACATGTCCGCCTCGTGGTAATATTACAGTAATTTTATCCTGTAATATTACGTGCTACTTGGTTAATGACAATAAAACACAAATATTGATTCTTAGCAATTAAATATGCTTTATAATAAAATCACAAAACATAATTAAATAATAAATTTTTAAGTATTTACTTTGATCTCCCGAAATATTTTTTATTTAAGAAGAAAAAATCGAAAACTTGATTTTTCCTTGTAGTTTCTACAAATCTGTCAGAAATATAACCGTTTGTCTTCGTATGGCATACAGGAAGATTGTTCAAGTTTTCCGAATTATTTCCACGAAATTCAAAGTCTCTATGTACTTGAAATTTAAACGCTCCCATTACCCCATCTTCCCCTATTGTTATGTAACTTTTCGGTAAATAGGACTTTTATTCAACCGAAACTTGATTAGGCAGAATTTTTAAACATAATAAATTGGACAATTTTTTTTAAGTACAGTACTTTTCGTACTGTACTTAAAAATTTGAAATTCATTTTCTTCGAAAAATTTAGAAAGCTTGTTGGAATATTTTTATAGAATATTAATCAAATACTAGTTATTTTCAAGTTCTCTCTTAAATTCTCCCACTTAAAAAAACCTGTAATTTTATATTTATATCATTAAAATCGTTGTACTTTAGTTTATTTGACGCGAATTTCAATAAACTTTCAAATAATCTCAATTTGACAGCTTTAAATGCTGTTTTTGCAGAGATATTTTTATTTAAAGTTAAACGAATATTTTCAAGTAATCTATTCAAGTATACTGAAACTTTTTTGACCCCAGTGTATGGTTGCCTACATTTTGAATGTGAAGTTCTGAGCGCTAGCGTGAAAAGAGACAGAGAAACGATGTTTGCACCAATCTATGCGTCAGACAGTGATGCAGAGAGTCAGACTTGCGCTAGGTAACTGTTGAGTGACACACTATCGGAAATTTTGATTAAAGAGTGTGAAAAAATGAAAGAACTTTCATTTAAAGCATTTAATTAGACGAAACCTTTTCGAGGATGTTGTTTAATCCCCTCCGATTATGGGAAAGTAATAAGAAATAATAATAAAACATTTTTAACTTAAAAAAGTAAGGATAAATTTGACTGTATTTGGGAAAATTTGTGTTTTTTTACTTTTACTAGTTTAACTTAATGTAATTGGATTTATAAAAATTGTGTTATTTAAAAGATCCTAAAATTTTGTTAAACCGCTTGAATCTTGAATCTTTTCTTATTCTAGATTTAAGAATTTCTTCTTAAATAGGCGCCAAGAATATATTACTTATTGTAAGAATATTTCCCGCTTACTTTAAGTAAGGAATATTCTTAGCGCCTATTTAAGAAGAAATTCTTAAATCTAGAATATAATTTTTTCAGTGTGTCAGATATTCTAAAAATCATCTTAAGATACCTGTAGTAGGATATCTTATGGATGTTCACAGAACATTTTCAGTATATTTTAAGATATTTATTTCTGTGGAGTATAAATAAAAATATAATTATAAGCCTATATAATTGTTTTCGAAAAAATGGATTAATATTTATTTTAAAAATATGTAAACTACACAAAAAAATTCTATAAAAGTAACCTTCATTTTCTTTTAAATGAAAAAACGTTAATTTGTTCAATAAAATTATTTGTAAAGAAAGTTACCGAAGTTAAGAAAACTGTATATGAGTAGAATTTATAGTTAAGATATGTTATTATTTATGATAAATTTTTTCACAATTAATTTAACTACATTTGATACTACATTTTTGAGAATTTCAATAAAATTTGAAATACAAAATGACTAAACTAGTGAAATTAGTGCTATTACTTCTGCTTATGAAGAAAAAATTATTCTTGTGTAAAATTTTAAATCTATGTTATTTTATTAATAAACTAAATTTAATAAATCATACTGTCATTGTATCCACTGCAGATGGTATTTGTTATTTCAATAAATCACTGAATTAACCAATACACACGAACTGATGCTGTTTATAAAATTATAAAATGGTAATAAATAAACTAATTCACAAGAAAGCAATTAATGTAAGTCGATGGATACATGTGTATCCTCTTTAGTGACAATAGGTATTCATTGCTCATTTAACGTCTCCACTATAAAAAGAATTGTCATTGACCCAATAGTGTTACGTGAGATTTTACCTTTGCTGTTACATGAACTTTAATGTTTTAAAGTTTTAAGTTTTGAACTTTAATGATAGAATTTTCTATTACAAATTTAAATATTGTTATACGTTATTTTTAGAATTTAAATGAAAATTATAAATAAATTATTCTGTAAAATTTATGTATACAAACAAACCTAAATTAATTTCTTAGTTAATGAAGATTGATAAAAAATATAAATATGATGAAATATTACTATTTAAGTACCTAATCTTTTCCATTTCACACCAGAGCTACTGAAAAAACATATCTTCAATTAGAAGGAAAACTATGCTGTTTCGAAGAAGCGGCGAATAACATGCCATTTCTAAATTGACAATTCCTTGGTTGGACACTTTAGAAAGATGCTTAAGAGCATTTGAACCTTCGTGACGTCACAAATCATGGCGCATGACACGCAAACTTCTCAGGTATGTGAAAAGCACAATTTTGAATATTTTTTAAAAAAACCTTTTGGAAAATGTTCAGAATAACATAGACTCTGTCTGTTATGTGCGGAAAATTCAAAATTTTGCGTTTAAAACGTTTTTTAAACAATGTTAAGGTCACAAATTATGGCGCATGACACGCAAACTTCTCAGGTATGTGAAAAGCACAATTTTGAATATTTTTTAAAAAAACCTTTTGAAAAATGTTCAGAATAACACAGACTCTGTCTGTTATGTGCGAAAAATTCAAAATTTTGCGTTTAAAACGTTTTTTAAACAATGCCTACATATAAGCAATTCGTGTATTTTTCCTTACTTGTGACAACCAACTTAAACATTGTTTAAAAAACGTTTTATACGCAAAATTTTGAATTTTTCGCACATAACAGACATAGTCTATGTTATTCTGAACATTTTCCAAAAGGTTTTTTTAAAAAATATTCAAAATTGTGCTTTTCACATACCTGAGAAGTTTGCGTGTCATGCGCCATAATTTGTGACCTTAACATTGTATAAAAAACGTTTTAAACGCAAAATTTTGAATTTTCCGCACATAACAGACAGAGTCTATGTTATTCTGAACATTTTCCAAAAGGTTTTTTTAAAAAATATTCAAAATTGTGCTTTTCACATACCTGAGAAGTTTGCGTGTCATGCGCCATGATTTGTGACGTCACGAAGGTTCAAATGCTCTTAATTTGTTAAAATAATTAATGTTAATTTAGTCTTTTAAAGGGATGTATACAGTCGACTAATGCAAAAACCACATCATTTTTAAGAATTTTTTTATGTCTGGTTTAAATAAAGATAATAATATAATCCCAAGTATCAGTAATATTACTAATATAATATACCACACAGCATATAAAATTTCATAAATATTTTTAAAATATTTCAACGAAAAGTTCTTGAAATATTGTTGCAAACAGAAAAATGTTCGACTTTGAGGAAATATTGATGATATAGTTGAGGAAATATTTCATTGAAACATTTTCGAAATTTTGAATTTAAATGATGCGCACTGGTCAACCCTATTGAAAAAAAACACGTATAATTGTACGTATAATAATACGTATAATTATACGTATTATTATACGTATAATTATACGTATAATTATACGCATAATTATACGTATTATTATACGTATAATTATACGTATTATTATATGTACAATTATACGTATAATAAGACATACGAATTTGAAACAAGAATTATACGTATAATTATACGTATAATAATACGTATAATTAATTATACGTATAATAATACGTATAATTATACGTATTATTATACGTATAATTATAATTCTATTAAAAATAGAATAATAGAATAGAATAATTAGTAGCAAAATTGCGCTGGAAATTTTTAGAAATTTTAAAATGCAAATTAAATTTCACGAAAAAAAATATCGTCGAATGTCAATTCAAGCAGTCACCCATCCAAGTACTAACCGCGTCCAACGTTGCTTAACTTCCGTGATCTGATGAAAACTTGTTCTTTCGCCTTGGTGTTTCCGCTGTCTTGTCTTGATTAATAACTTTGTCGTATAAGTATTGTATCGCACCTCACTTTTAGTGATACTTATACGACAAAGTTATTAATCAAGACAAGACAGCGGAAACACCAAGGCGAAGGAACAAGTTCTCATCAGATCACGGAAGTTAAGCAACGTTGGACGCGGTTAGTACTTGGATGGGTGACTGCTTGAATTGACATTCGACGATATTTTTTTTCGTGAAATTTAATTTGCATTTTAAAATTTCTAAAAATTTTCAGCGTTATTTTGCTACTAATTAATCTATTCTATTCTATTATTCTAGTTTTAATAGAATTATATAATTATACGTATAATAATTCGTATAATTATACGTATTATTATACGTATAATTAATTATACGTATTATTATACGTATAATTATACGTATAATTCTTGTTTCAAATTCGTATGTCTTATTATACGTATAATTGTACGTATAATAATACGTATAATTATACGTATAATAATACGTATAATTATACGTATAATAATACGTATTATTATACGTACAATTATACGTGTTTTTTTTCAATAGGGAATCTTCGTTTCTATGGCCTTTACAGCTGCGCAATAGTTTTCAATTTTCTAGGATCCTAAGGGACCGTACACATAATACGTCATGCAGCTAGGGGGGAGGGGGTCAGAGAATCGTAACGAAGTGTGACATGGGGGCCCGGCTAAAAAAATTTGTACAAGAAAATAATACTGTTTGTGAGTACCTAGTGAATCCAAATATAGTTTGATCTAATCCGGAATTAGTCCGATTGTACGCAACTAGTGAATCTGAGATTACTATCCGCGAGAAAATTCAAGTCACTTGAAAAATGGATGACTTTCACTTTGAATTTCTCAATCAAAAAAATTTATAGAAAAAAGACAATCCTTGCAAAGCTTAGAATCTGGGTAGTTAGTATCCGAAAGGTTGTTTCTGAAAAAAAAATTTCACCTTATTAGGCACATAAATAGATGAAAATGTACCCTACTTTTGTCCATTGTGAAAATTCACTGACTTTGAAACACATTTTCATATCAAAGAAGATGTTGGAAAAATTTTAAAAATGGCTTTTCGATTCCTTTAGCCTCTCGGAGAAAATTCGTTGTAGAATTTTCGAAAAATTTTAATTATTATTGTTTTTATGGTAAATAAAAAGAGACTATGTTATTTCGGGTTCTAATAGGCCAATTTCTACGAATCAAATTTCTCAACATAGATAGAAAATCCAATAAGTATTTCACATTATTAGAAAAAAATAGACTATTGTTTTTCTTGCATTTTTAGACAATTTTCTGGACATTTTTTTTCTATGAACAAGTGCAAAAAGGTCGTAGTGGTACACATTTTTTTCTACAAAATATTAACCCTGTCATAAATCAGTCCCCGGCCAACTCCTTCACCGGGACTTGAAAATTTTTTTCATGAAAACTGAACAGTGCTGTATATGTTAAGTAAAATTTATTTAATTAATTTTTAAAAATAAATTAAATTTGTGAATTGTAAAATTCATAAAAATTTTACAACGTCACAATTTGCATCTTTTCTAATGCAAAAATTTAACGCCGATTGTCATTTTTCTTGTGAGATATGTCAAACTTGAAGGCTGAAATGTCAAATTTTCAATTTCAAAATAATTACATTTAGAAATAAAATTTTATCTCATACGAATCAGACACCCATGCGTCTATGTCTTAAATAACATTTCCTTCAATTTAATTAAAATTTATTTCGAATTTTTCATGAAAATCGGAGGGATGTAAAACATGTATTAACTGAAGTTGGCTTATTCCACATGCCCTTAAAGCTTAATTTACGTACTATAAGATAAAAAATTGTAAACATTGTAGGAAATATTTTTCTTATTTATTTTTTTTTTTTTATTTCTTAAAAATACATGAAAATGCACTATCGTAGTGTTTCGGCAAAAAAAATTTCTTTGAGCTAAAATCGCCAAAAACTGATAAAAATTCTGAATTTGAGGCACAGATAATTTTTTTTGCCGAAACACTACGATAGTGCATTTTCATGTATTTTTTCAGGCTGAATCCGAATTCGAAGTCAGAATTGACAGATTGGCTCAAATTTTGAAGATAATTCCAAAAAACTGATTTTGAGTATTTTGAGTTTTTTGTTACTTGCGATTTTTGCAATTATCTCAAAAATTTGAGCGAATCTAACAATTCTGACTTTGGATTCGGATTCAGCGTGAAAAAATACATGGAAATAGACTAGTGTAGTGTCTCGGCCAAACAGCTTTTTATTTTTTGTGTGCCTGTGTATTTGTTAAAAAAAATATTGTTAGCATGACCAACAGTATATAGTATATTAAAAAAAAATTTTAGTAGCACCGTGTTATTAACTGATTTTAATATTTCTTTTTATAAATAAATTTCAGGAAATTTCTGGATCAAAATTTTGATTTATTATTATGAAAAACAAATCAAACGTTTCGACACCAACGTTGGTGTCCTCTTCAGTGATTAAAACAAATATAACTGTTGAAACAAATTTTTCAAATTATAACCTCAAAAATTTTTAAACTAAAATACATAAAAATTAAAAAGAAACTACTTAGGTACTATATTTATAAATTTTGATAATGAAAAATAGCAAAAAGACATGTTCCCACTAAGACAACATGTTAAAATAATTAACTACATGATTGTTTTTAATTTAAAAAATTTTGCTTCAAAACGTATATAGAAGGTAAGATAGACTATAGGAATAGCAAACCTTATTCATAATTCTAAAGTCTAATATTGGTTCACATGTAAATTACGTTTTACGAAGATAGCAAACATTTAAAATACAGAGCAATCGAAAAAAATTTTTCTCACATACGAGATACACATAAAAGGCCTAAAAAAATTACAATTAAAAATTATTATATTAATAAACTATTAGTTTTCACAAATTCAGAAAAATGTAACTTGTAGATTGCATTTTCACT